TATAATTTAAATTTTTTTTATTTAATATATATATATATATATATATATAGTTTTGTTGAGTTTAGTACTTTAAATTCTGAAATGATAACTTGAGCAGATGATTATTATTATTATCATTATTATTAATATTCACAGTATCCACCTTATTTTGCGACACGGAAGTAAGCTATTTTCTGTGAATGTGCCAGACTTCGCTGCTATAGTAAATTCCTAGAAGAATAACAAAAGTGATATAAATGTTAAAACTATTTTTTGCTGTTTATGATTACTATAATACATTAAAATAATATGATAAGCAATAATATCAAACTGCATTACGGCCTGTTTTTGTACAGCTAAAATGACACTTGAAGTTGTTAAAAATAAGGTGGATTATACAGTAGATCCTGCTTTAACAGTGTGCCAGTATTCAGTTCTGAACATAGTGTTTAGGAAACCCTGTCATGCTGACTAGGATTAGTCTGCCACCTAGTGTTCAACTCATGCTTAACCATTCCTAACTACTTTAGCGGGGGGTGGGGGGTGAACACAGCATTCAGGTTTATTAAATGTGTTAATATTTAAGCAGAGATCTCAGAGCAGTAAGTTATTTTCCAGCACTTTTCACAGCTCACATGATTCCCTGATACAACTGGAATTTTCTTCCTCCACTAGTGTACTGTATGTGCAGATTTGCGCTTTGAGTTAATGTGTTAATTATGTACCTGCTGGTCGGTATTTATATCTGTTGTCGTGTACTACTGAGGGTCCGTTTTGTCCCGGGCCCAATATCGCAGTGATGGTACGTACCCTTGTGGTCACCATAGCATGCCTGTGGCTCTAATGAATCCAGTTTTAACACAGTGTTTACATTGGGAAAACATCAAATTATATTTATTTTTAGGGGGTTTTTCTGTCTTTTGGTAGAAATAAATGCTTTCATGGACTTTTCTCTTTTTTTTTGTATAGAGGGAACGGATCTTGTACAGAGCAATATCGTTAGCCTGTGTGACACACATTTCTGTCTGATATGTGAATGTACTTGGGTAAATCAAAAACAGTCCTCACACCAGCCATTCTGGTTATGCTTTGTAGCCAGTTTCGTCAAATAAATAAATATCATAATACACCGTTTTTCAGTTAAATGGTGTCATAATTTAATTTTTTGTGAATTTATTAAAGTTTAAATTATTAAGGTTATATATGAAGTTGTTTTAAATGCATTCACTTTGATTCGATTTTGGCGTGTTGTTGTAGCCATAAGGAATATTGATTTTGCTGTTGCTTTTGCCCCCTCTGCTGTGCTGTAGTAAAATTAAATTTTTTATGTTATTTGTACTGCACATGCTCCCTCATCCTTCCTGCACCAAAGCAGCCACACGTGACCATTCCTTCTGCAAAAAAATTTTTTTTAATCATTTTCATGCTTAAAAAAAGCATTTTTTTTATGATCAGAGATTTTGTTATACTGTCCGAGCTGTTTGTGTGAAGCATAACGTCATATTTCAATCATTGTAAAAAGTAACTGAAAACCGAGTAAAAGCACAGATACTTAATTACAAGTTACAAGTCACCTATTTCAAAACAGCTTGAGTAAAAGTGTTAGAGAGTATCTGATTTGAACAGTACTTAAGTATTTGACTCGCGCTGAATGTAAGCTTAAAGATGCACTAGACAGAGACATGCCAGTGAAAAACAAGAAAGAGTTGATTTGTGAGGAGAGCGATCACGTTTATTTTATAAAACCGAACAACTCAACAAAAACAAAAAAAATCCTTCAAAAAGGTATCTTCAGTATAACAGATAAATAAAATAATGTTGTGTTTATTTATTTTATTTTTTTGCTTAATTTGTTTATTGAGCTTTTACAATAATAACAGGATAAGAGTACAGGAGAATAGTGAAAAAATAATGTTAAGTCAAATGAAAAAGTCAATGCATTCTTGCACTGGATGAGCTGGTTTCGGCCTCATTGCCGTTGTTAAGGAGCTCACATTCATGTAAAGTAGCCTCGTTGACAAGTTTGTGTGAGTAAGGGCAAAACGCATGAGATATGGTGCTTGTAGTTCTTCTGTAGCAGAAATAAACTGCAGCAATAAAGCTAGGTGCCATGCAAAATGTAATGTGTAACTGCAACACTCATTACAAATGTAGTGGAGTAAAGAGATGTAGTGAAGTAGAGAGTAAAAGTTGCTAATATCTTTGATGCTCAGCAAAACTACAGAGTATCCAAGTACAGTGATTAATTACATTTACTCAAATACTTTACAGCTCTGGTGATTTCTTAGTTTCTAACAGGCATGTTTCAAAGATATTGTGTCAGGTTTTGTCATGGCTGTGGACATTCACAACACGTTGTTGCAACCGTCCCAACATGCTGTCCCTTATCACATATTTGACATAAAAGCTTGCCATAGCATAACAAAATTTTAATTTTATGGATTAATAAAGAACACCTTTCAATAGTCAGGTATCTATCTAGTTAAAAATCAGTTTGAGTCTAATTTGGACTAATTTCCTTCTCTCTCCCTCTCTTTGTCTAACACTCACACACACACTCTCACACACTCACACTCACACACACACACACACACACTCTCTCACACACACACACTCTCTCTCTCTCACACACACTCTCTCTCTCTCACACACACTCTCTCTCTCTCACACACACTCTCTCTCTCTCACACACACTCTCTCTCTCTCACACACACTCTCTCTCTCTCACACACACTCTCTCTCTCTCACACACACTCTCTCTCTCTCACACACACTCTCTCTCTCTCACACACACTCTCTCTCTCTCACACACACTCTCTCTCTCTCACACACACTCTCTCTCTCTCACACACACTCTCTCTCTCTCACACACACTCTCTCTCTCTCACACACACTCTCTCTCTCTCACACACACTCTCTCTCTCTCACACACACTCTCTCTCTCTCACACACACTC